TACGGCCTTTGCCAATGCTTGTAATCAAGGTAAGAAAGACCATGCCCTGAATCCAGGGGCTGGAGTCTTCCTAAGAGGAGAGACGAGGAGTGAGGACACCACATGTGGGGACAGAGGGAGAAATAAGTGTAGACACTAGAAGGAAATGGAGTGCCCAACTGAGTGAGTTCTCAGTTCCCCAGGACTTCCATGGCTCTTTTCCTGTAACTTCCAATCCCCTGATGATGCTCTCCCCGCCTGCATTGTCTTGAACACACTGTAACTTCATTCTCCAAGTGCCTTTGCCTTTTCCTGCTGTTTGTATTTTGGGTCCTGTGTCCTGGCTACCTGGTCATTTTCAACTGAACGCTTGACATTGTGTGCAAAAATCACAACAGATGTGGGGGTGTTGTCTTCCTCTAGAAAAGGTCCATTGTTCTTCTGGGTGGTGGTTAGAGTCAGGCCAATTCCCACGACCCCAGAGGGACTTGGACCTGGGGTCTGGATGGTCACAGGGCTGGTCTGTAGCATGGCCCCTCACACCTGGGGTAGAGCAGCCTTGGACAGGCCCTTCTCACCCCACTCACCTCCTGGCACCCTGAGGCTTCCTGGAGGAACTTGCCCCAAATATCAAGTAAAGTGTGTCTCTTTCTCCCCTAGGTCATGGTCCCACACATCCCCGGACCTCAGTGTCCCCTGGTGCCTGCAAGCAGCTGCTTTATTTTCTGGCTCTGCATTCTGACCTGCTCTGGGATATGTTAGTCCCTCCCAGCCACATCAAATTCAAAATGGCATAAAGCTATCTGACCAGGTGGCTCTGGTCCTCAGACCTCCACAATCTCCCCTTAATCCAGGACATCTGCCCTGTTTCCAGATGAGGTCACATTCTGAGGCTCTAGGTGGACATGAATTTCCAGGGGACACAGGCAACCCAGCACATCACCACCCACAGAATAAAAGCAAGTCCAGCAGGGAATAGTAGCGCCCGCCTATAATCACCACTCAGGAGGAGGAGGAGAAAGAGGAGGAAGAGGAAGAGAGCCAAAGTTCTTACAAAATGGCCCTGGAAGCTCTGCCCCTTCTGCCCCCTGCTCCTCTGCCTCCTCCCTCCTCTAGCCCCGGTCCACTTTCCCCTAAGCCCTCTTCTCCCCACCTCCTTTTGCCCCTTCCCCTGTCCTCACTGCCCCCTTTATCCCATGCCCCTTCTGTCCCCTGTCCCCTCTGTCTTCTGTCCTCTCCTGTCCCCTCTGGTCCATCACCCTGTGCTCCACCACCTGGCCCCCCTGTACAGGCTCACATAGTCCACACCCCATCCTCTGGACTCTCCCTGGCTGTTCCGTCTGCCTCATGTTGTTCCCCTCGTATTCCTGACACTCGTGCTCTCCTTGTAACATCACCCTTTCGGGGAACCTCAAGAACACTATACACCCCTCCCTGACCATCCTCTGGCCCCTGACCAGCACTGACCACGTGTGACACGTGGATGGTGTCCAGGCATTGCACTCTTCCTTTGTTGATGACCAGACTGTGAGCCCCACAGACGAGGGCTTTTTCTTCTCTGTCAGAGATGTGTCCAGTGTGGCCACTGCAGGTCCCAGCCCAGTACAAACTGGTCTCAGGGCAGTGGCTCGCGGGCCCTGCATGGGAGGCACAGGGTATTTCTGAGAGCCCTGGCTCAGGGCCCCTGCCCCTGGCTCTGCTGTGGAGGACCTGGGCAGCGCCTGAGCTAGGCTGCTGACCCACAGTCCTCCTGGCCTTTCTGAGTGCCAGCAGCAGAAAGATGCTGCCTTAATTGAATTCTGGAACCCCAGGAGGATCAGGAGATTTATTCCTGCAGTCTGTGGAGCTGAGCTGAACAGGCAGACGCCCTCAGGGCCTCCTTATTCATCAAATGTGGATTTATTGGAGCCCTGTGGGTGGCCAGGCACGGGCTGCTCAGGTCTTTGCTCCAATTAACCCCCCTGGCCCTGGGGAGGGCTATGGAGATGCTGAGGCTGGTATGAGGCCAGCTCAGCCCTCTCCTTCTCCACAGGCAGCAACTCAAAGGGAGGTGAGCATCCAGCCATGGCCTTTCCTTCCAGGTTGATCCTGGGGCTGCACAACTCTGGTAAAACTAGTGGCCATGGATCATGGGCAGGGATCAAAGAAACTTCTGACCAGCCGGCGAATTGTTCCAAGTACATCCAGGGGATTGAGTGAGGTCACTCTTGCCAAATGGGCAGAGCTGGGCTCAGTAGCCAAGTGACCCACCCAGGATGCACCTGTCAGACAGCCGCAGGGCTGCCCCACCCCCTGAAGCCCTTTATGGAGTTTCCACCAAGCTCCTGGGCAGACCAGTGAGGTCCAGCGTCCAGCCCCCAGCCCCTGCTTCTTACGGACAGGAATTCAGCCTCACCTCGCTTCTCCATGGAAGCGTCCCGGGTTGGGAGGAAAAGGGCCTTGCTTCCCAGCTCTGAGTTTTAACCAAGAGTCCCACAACAAGCTGACCTGTCATCGACCTGAGGGAGGTGGAATAAAGAGTTCTTCCCATAGGCAAGAACACAACAGTTCGCTGCTCATTCCTCTGGAAGACTGTAGTCTTTAAGAGAGCCCAGGAAAAAGATCAGAGAGGGGAGCAGGAGCCTCAGTCTCACTGGAAGGGCCAACCAAGCATTTTGTCAGAAGCCCATATGGCAACTGTGTCCACCAGACTCAGACGGCTGCTTGGTCTTGGAACCTGGTGATGCTGACCAGGTAAAAGCGCTTGGCACGGGAGACTGGTGTTGAGGATACGACCAGCATTTCCTCCCAGGGCCCAGCAAAAAGTCCAGGATTTTCACTGTCTGAGGAACTCCAGGGAGGGGCTGGGTGAGTGCGGCAGGAGGCAGAGTCGGTTCCAGGACAATCTCTCAGAATAGACAAGAAGTGCCATTTGAGGAGGGCCCCCTCACGCAGAGCTGGTCTCACTCCCCAGCAGAACTGCCTGCCTCCTTTCAGACCTCATCCATCATCCACTCATGACCCTAATCTCCACCATCCACCTTCCTGAGCTACTGGACCATTCTGATGCACAGGTAGGGCTTGGAGTTTGGATTGCAGTTACTCTTCCTCGTGCTTTCTGTGGGGACATGTGAGCATGGTCCATCTAGCACCTGTTCCCAACTGGCTTAAACCCAAAAAGAACCTACAGGCTCACAACTGCATCAGGTTCAGCTCCATCCAGGACTCAAACGATGTGACCAGAAACCAGGTTCTCAATCACTAGTCATCAAATGTCTCCATCCAAATAGTTGTTACGGAGCAGGAAGCGCTCAGCCAAACCCATGTAGGTTTGCTCCCAACGGGAAGGGGAGGTCCGCCTCCTGACCACAAAAGCAGATAAGATTATAAAGACCATCTGGAGAGGGCTGGCATTGTGCCACCCATGGGACATGCTAGACGACAGGCACAGCCCAGCACTCTCCCTGGGGTGGAGCCAGCTTCTCTCCTGGATGGGGCAGATGGACTCTGTTCCCCAATGAGGAACCAGATTGTTTGGGTCTCAGAGCAGGGAGGACTCAAGACAGAAAGGATTAAGCTCCAGCATGAAGTTCCCAAGGCAAGGGTGACCCACATATGGGGGAGATGTCAGGCTGTCCCTGACCAGATGCCTTGCTAGGGTGGGCTGTGGCCAAGAGACCTGTGGGGTCAGGGAGATCAGAAAGGACCAGAACAGCATGAGGGCCAGGAGATAATGCAGAAGGGCAGAATTGCTCGGGGCCCAGTGTATTTCCTGCCAAATCCCACCCTCCAGCTCGACCCAGTCTAGGAGACAGAGGGTGTTTGGCCCAGTTAGAGGCGAAAGGAGTCAGAGGTAGGAGCCAGAAGGAAGCAGCAGGAAGGGACCTCAACCCCTGAACTGGGTGGGAACAAGCAGGTGTCAGGACCCCTGGAGCTAGAACCACAAACACTGTGGACATCACCCCTGAAAAGGAGAGGCCAGGCTACTCTGCTGCTGCTCCTGCTCTCCTGTTCCAGCCACTCACCCCGCAGAACAGGCAGCTCCCTTGTAATACTGAGCAGGGGAACCCCAGGGGGTGGGGGTGCAAATGGGCCATGGACTGAGAATGCAGCTTTATGCACCCCTCAATAATAATGGCTAGAAGACCACAGCACATTTACAACAGACGAAATTTGCAATCATGTGACTGGATCCCACCCAACGCCAGCAAAAAGGAACTCAACACAAAACAGCATATTCTGAACAATTGCACTCAATGAATTTCTGGAACTGGGAAAAAAAAACAGAGAAAAAATGAGAAAGCATTGTCTCTGTGAGGTGGGGCAGGGCCCATAGAACTTTCTGGAGTGCTGGCTGTGATCTACATCCTGACAAGAGTTTGTGCATTTGCCCAAACTCAACCTCAGCAAGTGTGTGTGTCCTCAAGATTTGTAATTTTTAAATATTGGATCTAAATTTTTATCTCAGGGAAAAAGTTATAAACAAATACTGAACTCTAACCATAAGCAGCTGAAGAATTTGAGGTGAGAGTGAATTTACTTTGAAACACATCCAAAAGGAGATGCTTGGTGTGGAGGGTTTACTGGAGGTCCCCAATTCATGTCCACCAGGAACCTACAAATGCGGGCTTATGGGGAAAAAGTCTTTGCAGGTGTAATCAGGTTAAAGAGCTCAAGAAGAGCTCACCCTGAGTTAGGGTGGGCCCTAATCAGAGACCAGATAGGAGAAGGCACCCCCCCATAGAGGCAGAGATCGGGGTGGCACAGCAACAAGCCGAGGTGCCCTGGCAGGGTTGCACCCTAGTGACTAGAAGACAGAAGAAGGGCAGAGTCTAGGCAGGCTGTAGGGACGCAGTACTCACTGTAACATTCTTGCAGCTTTTCCGTTTATTTAGAGCATATTCACAATAAAGTGCTACAGAAAAAAATGAACTGTTAAAAATATAAAATGTTTTCCCCACCCCCACTTACTGAAATCTGAGCAAAAGCTCAAAGACTACCAAGGGAGGAAGTTGATCCAGTGGCATATTTAGGGCAACACTGTCCAGCAGCATCCGGGCAAAAGGGTGTTCTACCACGCCCTGGAAAAATGCCAAGCCAGATACTTTCCACGCTTGGCCTACCAGCTCCAGAGTGCCAAGGCCTAGGGGTTCCCAGGCATGGACACCCAGCTACTCTGACCCCACTCACACCACAATATGGAGGCTCCAGGAGCCCTGCCTTGCTCAGCTTTGGCAAGAGGACCTTTATTTGTCCCTAACGTGCCCAGCTGGACATTCAAGGATCAGACATCAGTGCTATCTCCTCCCTCACCAGCACCTCTGATTGCCCTCAGGAGGGCAAGGGCTGGCCTTTGCCCATCATCTCCACTTACCGTCAGTGCCCAGAACAGGGCTGGACACAGAATAGGCCCACAATTCACAGCCCATGGATGAATGAATGAATGATGGTATTCACCCCAGCCTGAGGACACTGTGGTGGACAGGTGACTCTTCACAACTACAAAGAGAGCGTCACCTCTCCAATGGTAACCCCCCCCCAAACAAGGTGTG